AAATAACATATATGTTACATATATATTTAAAAAAAGTAATAAAAAAATATACAAATTAATGAAATTTGTTAGGTTTGTTAATAATTTAAAGGATACTTTTATAAATAACGATAAAATTATATGTTTTTTACTCTAATAGTTTTTATAACAGTATATAGTACAAAATAGATTATGAATTTTATAGATTTATATAATATCTGATAATCTTTTATGGCAAGTATTATTATAATAATATTGCACCACATTTCTGTAAATGAAAAAATATCCCTATTAGCATATTATATTAATTCCAATGCTAATTACTTTGAACTACGGAAGTAGGTTCAGCATAACTTTCAGAATTTTCTAAAGATTCAGACGTGTTATTAACCTTTTGGTGCTTACGTCTACAATTAAATATTACTTTCAGTAGATATAAAATTGTTAATGGTATCGGGGTCATTATAGCGGAAGACACAGGTAGTACTGGAAAAAAAAAATTAAGAAATTAAAAAGAAAATAATCATAAATAAATTACAATCAACAAGGATCGCGTATTTGGATATTTAACTTACCTGTAGTCAAATCATCGGCAGGTGACTTTAAAGATAATCTAAGTAGAAAAATAGCAACGCCTGTATTTTGTATTCCTGTTTCGATTGCTATTGCTATAATATCTTGTCGAGATTGTTTAAATATTAATGCTACTAACATACCAAAAATAAATCCCAACCATGGCAAACCCATGCCTGCTACTATGATCTACAAATTTACAGTTTATATTACGCAATGTATTTTAATTATATCATTAAGCTTATACAAAAGAAATATTATAAAACTCACCCGCCATGAAAATAATTGAAATAAATATAGATGAGTAAAGATAGCGAATATAATGATGAATATTATAAAAATGGCTGAAAGTGGTTTTATTATTTTAATCATAAATTTGCACACTTTTGGTAATTTCTTTTGTATACAAAATCCTATCAATAAAGGAAATATAAGACCAACTGCAAACATTGCTACATGATCATAAGGTACACCAAGCTCTCCACGATCAAAAATATGTTTCCCCAAGGTAAATAACCAAAATGGCATAAATCCTACATGAAGAATAAAATTATGGTGATCACTTTATATATTAAACTATGATATATTCTTATATATATGTATAATTACCGAAAGCAAGTATAGTGCATAAAGTAGTCATAGTAACAGAAAGATTTAAATTTCCATCTAACATTACAGTCCAAACATTAGATGCTCCTCCACTTGGACTTATTCCTGTGAAAAACATGCCTATCTGTAGTTCAGGCTGATCAGGAAACAAACAATATCCGATACCGTAACTTAACTGTGAAAATAATATTAGATTATGAATAGTAATTAAGTAAACTTGATTGATGCATTTTTATTCTTACTAGATAAATTACCAAAGGCATGAAGAAGAATTGACAAAAGCATCCTATTGCAGGACCAACTGGTTTCCTTAATGTTTTTCTACATGCATCCCAATCCATGGCACAGCCAAAATTAATATAGAGAATAGATACTAGTATTCCAACACTTGCAGTAAATATTTTATCTATTACCCCCTGATAACGCATTACTGTTACGAAAAGAACTTCTTTGTCTTCTGTGTTCTAAAAATATCAAGTAAGCAATCAATATAATATACAAAAAATTGATGTCACAATATAATTAGATCAATTAGCTCACATTATTTCTTACAAACTGAAATTTAATTTTTGCAGTACCCAAAAAGATACCAGTTATATTAAGCGTTCCATTCCAATAATTGTCACTTTTGGAAGTTATAACACCAGTTACCGTTGCAATATCTGGCGATGTGCTTACATAATTAAAACTTAAATTTTTCAAATTTTTTGAATTGATAACAACGAAGAATGGAATTGTCTTTGTTTCTTCCATTGTTACACTGATAGAACTGGTTGTTACATTTACAGACCATTCTTCTACGATAGATTGTTCTGCCAAGATTCGATGTAAAAAAAAGAACCATGTTATGAGGATGAGCATCCTTAATAAAATGTGATTGATGTGCTGTGTGACAAAGCATATAATTATAATTATAATCACAAATTGTAGATCTTAATAGAAGTAACATTTGAAATATTTGCATAATAGATAACAAATAATTGACATCAATGAAGTAGAAAAGTATCTTAGTAAATAAATATTTCATTTTGATTATTTTAAGTGAATGTATTCGTATCAAGTCATGGTCAATATATAAAAAAAGGAAGAAGATAAAAAAACATTAAGATTATCGTCTCACCTGTTTAATTAAATGTAGAATGAAAGAGATTGTAAGACCAGTAAGGTCCTACTTGATAAATGTTCTTTACTTTCTTTGGGAAAAAAACAGTAATACTGTATTGTTTTACACTGCATGATTATATCTAAATTCCAGTGATCTTGATGATGCAAGCTAACAGTAAATAATTTGCGCGTCTGGTCACGTATTTTGCGTATCAGTCACTATCAGATTAATTAAAGATTTTGCAAAGTTTATAATCATTTTTCTTAGCTTATTTTATTTGATATCATATTTTATAAACCCTTAGATTTATTATTGACGATAAGATGACTTGATTTTTTTACATTTTTATTGGATTATTTTTTATTTACATTTTAGAAATATACGCACGCGTGTTTATCTATTAATTATGTAATAAATATAAAAAGAAGATAAACTAGAGAAATAGCATGTAAAAAATGAGATAAGAACAATATTATCGGTACTGTGAATTGAGCTTTAAATGGCCGCGAAATATTTATTTACAAAAGTAGTTTTATCATTTGTAGACGCACTCCTATTGGTCGAAGTTCTTTTCGAAAGAAAAGGAATAGTAGGGAAGGGGAAATTCATATGTCAGTCAACTTGGAATGAGTGAAGTGTTAGAATCGTAGTTAGGTCGTTGTGATGATTGGATATATCAAGGTGTACAATGTCTTCTTTTATTGTTCAGAATCTAATTTTCTTAGTGATAATCTGTTTAGCAAAATGCGAAACAAACAAACCTTGGTATGAAACACTTCCTGCAGTGGCAATGGATTACAAGGTGCATATCGAGGCCGGAAAGGAGGATTGCTATTTCCAATTTGTAAATCCAGGCGCAACTTTCTACGTCAGCTTCCAGGTACACATGGTTGTCTCCTTTCGGTGCTTCGATGCATAACGTCTTGGGATAGTGTGATTCTTCTGTAAATAAGACTCCTACTCAATTAAATATATGTTGTGATAAAGTGGAAAGATTTATGCTGTGTGAAATTCTAAGAAAAATAACTGATGGTTAGTCGTAATGTGGCAATTAACCATATGGTTCCTTTTAAATACGTGTCGAAGACACTTTAGTTTAATTAATTCCTTTCAAACTGATTGATATTCTTAATATTGAATGTTTTCAAATTATCAAATTTCATATTGTTCGCCACCTTGTTTTTTCTTGTTTTTGTATTAATCATGTTTACTTTCACATGTGCTAATATATCTTTCCATTTATTTATGTACGTGATACTATAAATCAATACAGATTTTTCTATCACAGTAAAGAGAAAGTGCAGCTACATCGTTAAGTAAAAGTAATTAAGAATGCATTATGGACGACTATCATATTTATCGTTTATTTATCATTATTTCTTTTAAGAAATATGTTATCAAACACAGGTACTACGTGGCGGTGATGGAAAAGCCGGATTTGCTGTGAGAAATCCAGAAGGTTTGATTGTATATCCTTATCAATGGAGAGCTAACGCAGATTATCAGGATCAAACGGCAACCGGTGGTTATTACAGTGTTTGTATCGACAATCAGTTCTCCAGATTTGCTCCTAAATTGGTCAATTTGTACATCACAGTTATTAGGTATTAAAATCAATCGAATTTATAAAACTTTTTTAATTAATATTCTAGTATCAATAAGTATATTATTGTTGTATTTAATTATAGATATGATCAATGGGAAAAGTATACAAAGGAATTGGAGGAGTTAAATTTATCTGTTGAAAATTTCACAGTACGTAATAAAAAAGATAATCCATTTATTTTATTTCACATCATCAATATTTGTTTTATACTCTTTCAATTAATATATTTGTTCTTTTTTTTATTCAGAGTACGATAAGAAATGTGGAGAAGAACATTAATGATATACTACAAACGCAACATTTAAGTCGTAGTCGAGAAGCAAGAGATTTAAATTTACTCTTGGACAATAATTTTTATGTTCAAACTTGGTCTATCGCACAAATAATTGTTATTACAGTGGCTACCACGATACAGGTTTATTTTGTAAAAAGATTATTCAATGTCAAGCCATCGAGATATTCGAAAGCAAGGCTCTGATTATCAGTAATAATATAATAGGAACATGATAACGTCCAGTGTGTTATAATTCGCCGTTTATATTGTGATAATATTAATTAGATGTTAAAATATTATTCAGATTTTTATTTATATATAACTTTTATTAAATTTAATATATATATATGATTTTTATATATGACGATCGTTTAATTTAACGTTTAGTCTCAAAGTTTTTTGTATTTTTGATAAAATTTAATATTTGTTAAATCGGCATATTTACATACAACGTTATCATCATGTTTCAATACTCTTTTTATAAAACAAACTTTATATAAAAATCAACATAAGACTGTACCATCATTTTGATACACATGCGAATGACATTCCACTTGTCGTTTGAACGTGAAACATCTTTTCCACGTTCTATTCATGTATTTTATTAAGTTATATCATGATAAAACGAGAAGAGTGATATATAGATTTATTAAACAATGTTTATTAAATTACATTTAACATGTACATAATTGTACAAACAATAAATGCAAAAATAATTTTTGTTATGTTACTTTCGCGGACGATTACTTCAATACATGGCTAAGTTTTGTTTCGCTCTTCTTTGTAAAACACTACCCATAAGGGCTAAGAGACGATGCCTTTGTTTCAAATTTCTCGCACGTACATGTTCAGAGGCAACTTCTTTTGTATAATTTGCAGGAAACCAACCCTGTTCGCCATTCAATAGCTTTTCACCATGATACCAACCATCTGTCATTTTTCTTAGTACATTTATAACGTCACCTGACAAGTACATATAATTAATAAAATACAAGTTTTTTTTAAGGAAATATTTTTGTCGCTTACCTGGTTGCAATGAAAGCTCATCGGGTTGGTTTGGCGAGTAAGAATATAGAGCCATTACTTGAGGACAATCCCAGGATTCGTAAAGCGTTTCCCCAACTATTTCCCTTTTTGGTGGTGAAATAGCTTCTAGCCACCTTTCTCTTTCTGTATTGCTTTCACAGGTTAAAATATATTCTGCTTGCTTACCACAATGATTTTCTAATAGTGTTAACATCATCGCATTACGACCAGCAAAGGGTGAATCTTCAGAGACTGATTCAGAAGCAAGAAGATTTCTTTTGCAAACATCTATGACAGTGTAAGCTTCATCGTGAGTACTACAAAAAAAACAAAGATGAGTTTTTTAGGATACTTACGTTTATCGTGAAAATGACTGTTATAGGAAAAATATCATTTAACTTTGACGTACTTGTGTTTAATCTTTGTGACTAGAAGGTAATCCGTTAGTAGGAAAAGGTACACCGGTGTTTTGTTAAATTTTTTTCCGAATGTAAGTTTGTATTCCATATCTGCCTTCATAGTTAATTGTATGACAGATCCTTTTTTAATTAAATGTCGATTTTTTAAATCAATAGATTTTATTTTAGGCGAATATTCTAATTTCCTGTTAAGAAAAGATCAAACTTTAGTAACTCTTACTTTTCTTTTTTTTTTCTTTTGAGACAAAATGTTAGATTTTAATTTTACCTTGTTATCATTTCCATTTCAGCTTCTTGAGCTGCAGCACGTGCACCCTCGTTACATTCGGACACAACATAGGTAAATGTTGATAAAACTTTCTCCCACGATGATCTGTCTGTATTTTCTATAGATAATTTAGAAAGTACTGCATCGGCTAATAATGGCAGTCTGCAAATGTAAAATAACAATACCTAATACTATTATTCTTTTTTCTATTCTGTATTAGGGGTAGCCAAATTTTGTGTATATAAAATTTACTTTTATCTTAAAAATGTATCGCGATTGATTTGCTGTCGTAGGCATAGTCTAAGGTCGAAGCTCTTGCTGTCGCTCTAACTAGGATCCTAAATTAATGTTTCATTTATTATGTAGTTTAACTGATTTCTAAGTTAAGACCTGTTGGCCACCCCTGTTCTATAGTATGATAAGCGTTTTACCTTGTAATTCGTTGCATTGGTAACATAAGGAATGAATTTAGTGGCAAGCTTTGACATTCAGGACGGGATTCTATTTGCGTGACAGCCTCTACAAATTTCGACCCTTTCTTTGCTCTTGTTTAAAGAAAACAAAAAATATTAATTTAATAAAAAATAATACATATCAGATATCGTTATCATTACCTTAATTCCCTTAACGTCATATCTATTTTAATTTGATTAGAACAATATCCAACGAATATATCTAAATATTTTTCCGAATGTTTAAGTAAAATATCAGGTAAATTATGTAATGTAAGATCTTCTTTCCATATTGTTTCCAGATCCGCCAATAATTTTTCAGACGCTTTAATAACACCAGGTACTCCACCAAATAATTTATCTTTCTCAGAAGGCGTTAAAATTTCATGTGTCAATTCGTGATTACGAAGAAATTCATTGTCAAGGACTCGAAGAGAATTTAAATAGGAAGCTTCCGATGTAAGGATTTCAAATTTGGCTTCTTGTATTCTTTTTTCTTCTGGTGTTAGTCTCTCTAGAAAAATGTTACAAAAGTTTACTTTTTATTATTAGATAAGTGTAAAGAAAAAATTCTATTTTTATATTAAATATTTACGTAAGAGTCCACTGCGTACAACTTGTGGGGTTTGGCACCATAATGTTCGGTGTCCTAGTTTTACAAAATCCGTAGCAAGTGGAGGAGGATTAAAATCTTCTACCTGTAAAAATAAGGTAATTTATATTGTATTATTTATATTTGTAAAGATATGTTTCCAATACATAATTATAGAGAAATATTTTTGTTTTACTTGCTCGTATCCGTCAGAATCCGATTGGAAGGCCACACTGTTAACAGCAGCTGCATAAAATTGATACAAAGGTTCTTGATCCGCCAACACGCTATAGTGATCTAATAGAATACATATATGAATCAATTTCAAAATTTGTTTGCATTTTTAGTCACGGGAGCAACGCACACATAGCAAGCATTCCAACTTACCGACGTCTGTTTTATAAAATTGCGAGGAAGATTCGTAATCGTTATTTTTCGTATACCAATTGGTATTTCCATAAATGGCTTCTTTACTGGTACCATTATTATTATTATTATTATTATTTCTTGGCGTACAATTACCATTACTATCGTTCAGATAAAACGTTGAAAAACTTGAAAGATTTTTTCTGAAATGTTTTCTAAAACTAAAATATTTTCCATTGTCTTGTAGTTGTGGCTGTTGATTATGATGATGATGATGATGGTGATGGTGTTCATTTGTAAGATCCTTGTTTTCTTCGCAAGTTTGATCTTCCTCGACGAACGTTCTTCTTCGAATTCTACCAAGACTACCCTTGGTGATGCTCCACGTTCTTCGCAACATTTTAATTCTTCTACCCAAAGTTTCAGTCAGACTAGATTCTCTTGGAGGCGGTGGTATCGGTTTCGCAGGTGCCTCCAGATTATTATTAACATGAATATTTTCACATCGATCATCGGTATTACAATCGGGCCTGTTTTCAAGGCCGCTTGCAGCTTCGTCTTCCGAATCTGTATTGAAATCATCCGGTTGGGAAAAACGAAGACTCTCGTATGTACTATCTTCCGAGGCGCTTTCTGTTTCGAAATACAAATGATAGGATAATTGTTAATTTTCTTATTTTTTGTTTATAATACGTCATTTTTTTCTTTCAATATATATTTCGATAAACGAAAGATTAATTAAATGCTTCACACGTTGATTTTAAATAATAAGAATTGAACGTGGCAGTTTAAATGGGCCCAGCCTCGAACGTTTAATTCGAAAGTATGCGTATGCATGTTGTCTAGATGAAGAAGAGAAGAAGAAGAAGAAGAAGAAAATACGTGGAGAAACCTTCGTGAACGTAACACGATGCCTCCTGCACATCCGTGTCCTCGTCAAGATCCACGAGTCTCATTTGGACGAGGCCTTGGCTTTTCGAACGAACAGACTCGCCATCCGATTCCACATTTCCCGATGATTTCCATTCTCCTTCCTTTTTATCCGAATGATTGACCAGTAACAGTGCGGAACCGGTGATGGCCACTTAAAAATCATTCGTTCAAAGTAAAATCTTTTCATATCTGCGAGGTTCCGTGACGAACCACCTACGATTACTTTTCTTTATTTTTTTTTTTTTCCAGTAAAAAAGAACAGAAAGTGGACAGACGTGAAAGAGAACAAAGACCAGGAACGTATCCTCGATAACTTTTCCTTATAATTCTTATTGGAGGCGTGTCAAGGTCACTTAATAACCATTACACGGAACTCCACGAAGACACCCTGACCTTTGAAATTTATTTCTAATCATCATTACCAATATTTTTGTTCCCCTTCTGTCTTTATAATTATGCAGCCAAATGTTTGTTTTACATGCATTTATTTGCCAATGTGAAAAAGTTATACGGACCATAGCAACGAGAAAGTTACATGGAGTCCATCGAAATTTCATTCGTCGAGAAATACTGAGAGGGAACAGAGAGAGAGAGAGAGGAAGAAATAAAGAAATAAATAAAGAAAGAGAGAGGAATCGCGTCACACATTCTCTCATACGGCTTCTTACCTTGCGTGTTCGGCCGTCGTGAGAGCGTCCTTAGACTCTGTCTCATTTCCACGACATTTTGAAATGTTCAACTTTCACGAGTTACAATTGGAAATAGAAGAAAACAGTTATGTGTTTATAATAGTATAAGTAATATTTCGTTTCCTATTGTATCAAGAATTAATATCAAACACTAACGAAATTCTTATACGAAACAAAACGAAACGAAACGAAATGAAACGAAGAGGAAAAAAGGATGAAACACGCACAAATCTGCTGTTGGCAAGCCAGCAAAGAACGAGGAGAGATATCGAAAACCTCGCGACGCAGAGCCCGGTTCAGCCGTGACTGACAATGAGAGCGCATAAGAAGCGCTTTCACCTTCTACACCGGACCAATCGACTACTTACGTTTTCCACTCTGCACTTCTGCGCTTTTGTCTGTCTCTTCTTAATTCTTTCAAATTTTTCTTTTTTCTTTTTCTCATTTTTCATTTTTCTCATTTACTTTTTTAACTTTTTTTTATTTATCACATGCATTGATATCTCACAATCGTGTTATGATAGTGGCCTATTTTTTCTCTCTCTCTTTCTATCTCTCGTTGATTTCATTATACCTACACAAACATACGCATACCAATATATGTATTCTCTCTCGTATAGCTATGATAATTTACAAATATATAATAATTGGGCCAAATATGAGTAACAGTAATGAACCTGTTGTGATGCAATCAAGACAAAGAGACAAGAGAGAGAAAGAGAGAGACTTAGAACATGCCTAGGATTATGCATACCCGGTATCGGTAAAGCATTTTCTATTGTAGATTGTAAATACAAGTTGCCGTTGCGTAAAACGGTAAAGCCGGGATATTTATTTCCTTTGTAAACTTACCGTGAACGTTAGAAGAATCATGGCGAATTAAATTGGAGGAAAATGAGGAGGTGGAGCATGCCGAATTTTTCCTAGATCTTCTCGAACGTCGTCTTTTCCATTTTTTGCTGGAACCTCGTACAACAGGTTTCTTTTGACTCCATGTATTACACTGCGATTCCCCATTATTTTCACTGAAAAACATGAAACGATTCTTTCGACACCGAGAACCGCTTCTTAATGAAATATAATTGATAATAATTTATCAATAACACACTTTGATCTTTGATCAAGATCAATAATCCTTTACCATGTGCAATCATGTTGGCAAGGTAATGCATTCGTAAAATCGTCAACGTCTTCCCATTCAGATTCCTTGCTGTTTGCCAGGACCGATCCAAGCAGAGAAGCAACCATGGATCCCCCATAGAGACTGTTCACGCGTTCCTCCCCAATAGGACATCCAACGTCATCGTAAATGTCCCGTTCATCGTTGCCATCTTCTACGCTCGAATAATCATTGTTTATCAAACATTCTTTCTTTCCTTCATTTTCCTCGAATAAAGTTTCAAATTCATCCTCGGTCGCGTTTAACAATGGCGCCAAAACATCGTCGTACGTATCGTCCAATATTTCATCGTTTGATTTTTCATCGTTTGATTTTTCATCGATTAGGAGGGTATTTCTTTCCGGTGGTCCGACATCGTCGTAATCTTCTTCCTAATGAGGGATAAATAAAGAGAGTTTGTTTTAAAAATGTTGTCACGATTGTTATCGCGTAGAAAAATGTTTAAATACGAGAAGAGATGAAATGAAGTGAAATTATGGTACCTGTGAAAAGGAAACCAATGGAAAAAGTTCGGGCAACGGTGCCGGTCCCACATCGTCGTAAGTTTCTTCGTCCTTTTTTTTTACAAGCGAAAAAGAAAGTCTGGCTTGCTCGTTCTTGTCCAAGTAACTTCTGGTTCGATCACTCCAAAGGAAACTAACATTGGTGCGTAATATTGGCTCGTAAGAAATTCTCGTCTCGTCATCTGCCGTTTCGGTTTTCACCGATTGGCAAGGATCCACGAGTTTCGCTTTAGGTTCCTCTATTCCGTTTAGAGATGTTCCTTTTATTTCCACGTAGGATGTCCTACCTACATTTTTATCTATGATAAAAAGAAAAGGAAAAAAAAAAGAGAACGAAAGATAAAGTAGAAATAAGAGAGCAACCTTAGAAAAGAAAGCTCAATACTACTGGGGACTCGTCGTATTGTAGATAGAAATCACAACGATATAATACGTACTTTCCATACTTTCCATAGGCGTTTCTTTTTCGGTCGTAAGTCGATTATGATTATTACTAATTTCTTTTCCACGTAAAAGTAAAGGCAAATTGGCGGATTTTTCTTCGTGAGTTATGACAGTTTGTTCTGATTTATAACCGACGATATTTTCGTTGAACATTAAACGTGGATTTGTAGCCGAAGCAACGTGAACGAAATTCGATGGCTCGGAAATCATGATGTACTTCAATTCGCATTTCGAAAGACTCTTAGATCGGGAAAAGGAATCAAGATTTTCTTCGATGCTCGACATTTCATCTTCCTCTTTCAAAGATCTTCCTTGCGAATCTAAATACGTGGTAAAACGATAATGCTTTTTTTTCTTCTTTTTCGTTTGTTGTTTCTGACGTTTTTTACCCGGATATCCGGGCACGTAATGCAACACGTTTCTTGCGAAATGTCTCTTCTTCTTCTTTTTCTTTTTAGTTTTATTATTTCGCAAACTATTTTTCTCATCGTCCTCGCTGGAAAACGATATAGATTCGGCGCAACCGTAAATCATTTCAGATCTTTCCTCGATGCTTTTATTATTACGGTGAAAGCTCCCGTTGACATCGCAGTCACGTTTCGTCGAGACTTCCTTGTAACATTGACTTTTAAAATCGACTTTTTCGTAATCCTCCGAAGAATTTGAACAACGCCTTTCTATGAGTACGTTAGATGATTTCTCGTTGGATTCCTTTAGAGTATTTAATTCGACTAGATTTTCTTTTTCCGAGTCGATTATTTTGTCATTTTTGTTCTCCTCTTTTAACGATATACGATAATAATAATCCTTGTTTTTCTCCTTGTCAGTTAAAATGCTATTAATTTCAACCAATTCAGCATTATCGGATTTCTCCTTTTGCTTTTCTAACATTTTTTCAATTTTCGTACGACCTTTTCGTAGTGGACTGTTCTTCGATTTAGCCTAACGGGATAAATATTTAATTATGCTTCCAAAATATTTGCATAACAGATTCCTGACAATTTTTAATAATATAATTATTAAGAATAATTTTTTTTTTAAAGTTCGATATGATAGATAAAACAGATGACTACTGTTTCCACTTTCTATCGATATATGTATATCAGAGAACTGATATCAAAACTAGTTCCATGAATCGTGATAATAATATTCCTACTTTATTGTCATAGTCTTATCATCAACACACGTGTTCAAAGAAAATGAATGAACGAACGTACGTACGAACGAACGAACGAAGGGATTTTAATCGAATTTCGTTTGAAAGTAATCAAGAAATTCATTACGATTCCTAAATTTTATTCACATTACGAACATTCCATGGAATATTTGATTAAAAAAAAACAGAGGGAAGATAAGAGTTAAAGTCATGCGATAAGAAAACGTTAATACGTTAATACCCAACTTACGTCTTTTTAAGTTTCAACGGTGTTTACCAATTTACGTATCGCGGTTAACCGAAAAAGAAGAAGAATAATAAGAAGAACAGAATGAGAAGAAAAAAAACAAAAAAAATAGTTTCCATTTTTCGAAATTTATTCTCATCTTCCCTGGGTTAATATTTTAATTTGTATTTTACTTACCATCAAATTAATTCGTTTGTTTTCCCGCTGTATGATTCCCGTATCCTTTTTCATTTCTTCAAACGTTTCAATGTCCGTACCACCATCGTGAAGACGTAATGGTAATCTCGCTCTTTTCAAGGCCAAACTATCTACCGTGGGATAAAGAATTTTCTCCGTCACCTTTTCTTTCCGACGAATGGAATCCCTTTTGGAGCTTCTTGTCAAACTCATGTCCTCGTTTCATCGATCTCAATCATACTTTACGATAATACTCGCGAACGGGGTGCCCCGTAGGATATTTCAATTATTTGATCGATTGATTCTCGATTTCTTCTTTCGTGATTATTATTATTATTACGTTTCTTTACCTTCCTCATATCACACTTTTCAACGTATACAAAAATGAATGATAACGTATGCTACTGGTTGATAAATCGTAGATCCATCTGAAATTATCTTTGAATTTTCTCTCGACATATTTTATGTTACTTTAAATAACAACTGATGATATTGTTCAGAAATTTTCCTTTCACAATTGTCGTTGTTGTCGTAGAGTGACGATAAAAAAAAAGAAAGAATTATCTTTTATTTCATTATTATTATTTTTTAAAACACACATTTACGGAAAAGAACGGTATAGAATACTTTCGCGGTTTGACAGTTAGGAATGACAATAGTACGATGATGTTACGTAGAAGAATTCTATGAGAAATGACAACGTATCACGATCATCTTCTTCTCGTTCACGTTAAACCTCGTGGTGTTTGGAAAATACGCTATAACATAAGATACGAACGGTACATGAAGAGAAAATAATCGTAACCGTGCGATGAAGCGTGCAACGACGCGACTAAGGTGGCCGCGTTTATGCGTCGCGGTGAAACCTTGTTCACTCGCATGTTGTTTTTCACTCACTTGCTCTTTAGGTTGCTGCTCGTGCGTCATCATAGCAAACGATCGTTTGCGACGAGCCAATCTCGTGGCATCCGCAGCTCCGCTCGATCGCATTCCGGAATGGTTCGCCGCCATTTGCCAACGAACCGAGCGTATATGTGCGTCTTTCTCTTTACGAACCCCCCATGAGAAAGAGAGAAAGCAAAGAAACCTTCTATCTTTTTCTCTCTCTTTTTTTCTCTCTCTCTATCTCTCTCTCTCTCAATTTATGTCCTTCGGGCACTAATACGCACACATTGACAATATTTTTTTAAGCACATACAAGTGTTCGTCATATTTCTTCTATTATTTTCTTTTCTAGATTTTTTATTCAAAAATTAATATATGCATTTTCGTATACACAATGTTTTTTATTTTTCTTTTTTTATAATTAACTATACGAACGTGTGTGTGTGTGTGTGTGGTTGCATTCGATAACAAAAGTATAATCATTCATTTCGATTGTTTCTTAATGTTGTTTTCAATGTTGATTACCAAACGAGCTTATAATTTCGAATTATTAATGTTATTTTAATGAAATATGATATTGCATATATGTATATGCTTACGTGTATACACACCTTATATCGTTTTCAATTTTTCTTTACCTTGAAACTAATACATTCCATTGAGGTATGCATTTAACACGGTGTTAAATATTATACGCTTCCCTTTCCATTACTTTCGAAACGATTACGCGATATTTTGGAATTTTTGTTTTTTTTTTTTTTTTCAAAGAAAAATTCCATTATTCAGCATGTACTCGTGTGTCATTTCGTATATTTATTTCTTAATTTATTTGATTTCATTTTATTTGACACATTTCACATTTGTTGACATATTGAGACAAATGTTGCAACGTGTGTTTCATTTGAGATTGAAATTGTTATATTAATCGTATCAAAGAGATTAGATGGACAGATAGATTTATAAGAAAAAATTCTAGGGAAAATGAATAAATTATTAATTGAAAAGTCATTCCGTTCTTCGTTATCGTTTTGTTACGGCACTGATGCGAGAAAGTCGGAGGCTGGGACCAAAGAAGAATTCCACGGGGTTTTACCTGCAGGTGAGTCCGGAATGATGATGTGGCACATTGGCCTCCTTTCCTTGAATAAATCCCTTCCCAGTTTTCTCCCCTTCACCTTCTTCCCCTTCTCCTCATCCTCCTCCTCCTCCTCATCCTCTTCGTCATTCTTATACCGTTTTGTCAATTTAAATAAAAAAACTTTTCGTCACGACGATCTTGTGTAATCCAGGAAATCAATCGATAAATTATCAATCAATCATACAAAATTTTGTTAGAAGAGCTAGTAGGAATAATTTCTCAAAATGAAAATAAGCAACAATAAAAACTTCCAGCATCTTTGATTTCATGATTTATTTCTCAATATATATATCGTTTTTTCTTTTCTTCTTCCTTTTTTTTGTACCTATTTTTTAATAATTTATTCTACAATGGTTAATATGGTAATAAGTATTGTAGCGTAGTCATTGCGTCATTTTGCGTTATTAAAACGAATGTTTTATTTAACGAGGGTAAAGGTGGTATTTTCATGTTTTATATATCGTTAGTTATCATCGAACCAGCGAACAGTTAGTACGTTTCAAGAGATGTCTCTCGACGAGGTAAACCACTTTGATTTCAATTTTATTTTTTACCTTAACACATACATATGTATTTCTTTTTCTCGTTACACATTTGTTCTTTTTCTTTTTTTTGCTTTGTACACGGAATTGACATTAATTTTGTCTTCTTCCTTTCTTCCTTTCCCATTTTTCCTATCGTTTTTATTCGTTTAACAAGAGAAAAAAATCAAGTAATAAATATATTTTTATCAACTTACCAAAGTAAATAAATTGAACGTTTATGTAACGTAACGCAATTAATGGATTTCATTATTATGAAAATCTGTTGAAAATATATGTAAACATTTGTATGTTAATTAAGTTACAAGAATAGATACGTTTAGATTGAATGCATGTAAGCTTAGGAAAATGTTTATGCGATGTATTGTATTTTAATTTTCTGAGTTAGTGACGGATTGTTTTAAATTACATTCAAAATTATAAAAATCTACTCTTGTCATTGTGATCTTATTTAATTAAATTGACTTTAAATATAAAAGAAATTCATGAATCGATTGCTTTAAGGTTTATAACAAAAAAAAAGAAAAAAGAAAAGATACATTTTTATCTAAAAATTTGTTGATTAATTATTCAATTTTATAGCAATTCGAAGCAGCTGAAAAGGTGATAAAAACTCTTACCAAGCGTCCCACCGATGAAGAACTTTTAGAACTCTATGGTTTATTTAAACAAGCTATGATAGGTGATTGTAATACACGTAAGTTGTTTACGAATTTTGTATAATTAATTATTGCAATAGCTTCTCTTATATAACGTGAATAATATTCAGCAGATTGCATGAAATTTACGTTATAGGAAATCAGCATTGTTCGATAATTTTTCTTATGTATAATACAATAATTTTTTAAACACGAAGACAACAATTTATATATTTCAATCAAAGTAAACTTTTTAATTTTTGAATACTTTCTGCATTTGATTATAAAGTGCGTTATATAATCTATCGTGTTATACCAGTTTATTGTATTTATTCCAATCAATAATAACAGTACGAACATATTTTATATTTTATGAAAATATTTTAGAGAAACCAGGATTATTCGACATGAAAGCGAAAGCAAAATGGCAATCTTGGAACAGCAAAAAGGGCGTTTCTAAAGAAGATGCTAAAAAGGCGTACATCGAATTGGTCAACAATTTGATGGAAAAATATAAATAATTATATATAAACAATTATTATTAAATGATAATTCAATGAATTTAATAATATATATTGTTACGTAAATCAATATGAGAATGACATGAAAAATATTCTGCTTGTGTGGTAAAAGACAAAATTACATAATGATTTTTGTATTTGGATATTTTTGTTCTTCCTCTTATCGACTTTTTATATGTTAATCATTTTTTTTTTTGTAACGAATAACTCGATACGTGCGTAAGAGTATCTTTAAACAACATATCTTGACATTTATTTCTCTTTTTTTTTTCTTTTTTTAACAAAATGATCAATTTTATTTTTAAACGTCGTTAATAATTAATGCGATTAAAAGATTGAACGATTGTGATTAATTTTGTTTTTGTAATTTCTTATTACGTATTAAAATAAAATATAAATCCTTCTGTTTTTCTTCGCAATGTGCGATACTTACACCTGTGAAATAACGTTCACTTATATTTTCTTATAAATTTATATAATTAATAAAGAAAACAAGAAGAATCTTACAGAATATTTAATTAATATTATAAATCAAATGTGTGTATGGAAACGTGTTGAATAAATTTTTATTGTAATAATGATAATAATAATAATTCGGACAATATGCTGACTCAACATTTTCGTTGCAGGTTGTTCATTTTCTTTTTTTGTTTTTTGCTGACACAGCTACGTTTGATATTATAAATTTAAAAATAAAAAATTAATTATATTGAAACGTTGCATCATAGGATGACAATTATAAAAATATTTTCAAATGATGAAAATTTCTTAAAGAATCGTGTTATATATGCTCAATGTATTTTGTCAATAGGATAGCAGAAAAACAAGGTGATAACCCTGACGAATAATCACCTGAAAGTTCGTTCGGAAGTTTTATCAGTCTTCATTATCCTTGCATGTGAACAAATTCAGATAACAATATTTCAACATTTATGATGTTTTCATGTTATACTCGCTAATGATATATTCAAACTTTCTGATAAGGCAATAGGTTTTATTAAATATAAAGATTACATCATATATTTTTAATGTATACATTTATAGACAATTTAATATTTAATTATAATTGTTGAATAAATAAATTATATTATCGATAAATTTTGAAAAATGTTCCTTTTGATTTTCATTCATTTGTTTGAAAAAAACACAGGTAAACGTGTTTCAAATATTTCTACAAACGTTAGAATCTGTAGTGCATATAACATACTATTATTTTTAATATTATCAATATAAGATTGAATTATTTATTTAAATTTGGCTTTTGCAGTTAAGATATGCTGCTTTTTTTGTATATATTTTTAATATTAAATAAATTGTTAGTATATATAATCACGTATTTAATTAATAAATTTCTAAACTTTAGAAGTAAATGTTAAACTAAAAATATCCCACTATTATCATTAATTTAATCGCCTATGATAGTAATAAATAATTCGTGTTAAATCAAGAATTAATATTAAAATTTAAATACGCGATTATTATTAATATTGAGATAAATTATTATAATTATTAAAAATGAACATGAGATATTAATATTAAATTAATTAATTAATCAATGGAAGAGAATATTTCTTCTATTTAGGGTTGAACATTGAAACGTTGTATTGTTAATTAAATGATTTATTCGTGGTACCCTGAGCTGGTAGTAATAGTAATCAGAAGTGATACAACACAGCCGGATTTAATAAGGGGATAAGGGAATATTAATTATCATGGGTTAACCTTCGTACAGCTGTGTCAGAAACATTTCATAAAATGTAAAGGAGGGTTGATATCGCGAATAGATAGCGAAATCGCGGGGGACATTAGGTCATAATCGCATGACCACCAGGTCACTGATTATGGGTATTTTGTGATATGTCTTTGGTATAAAAGTGATGCATAATCCCATCGTAAGCATACGCAATCTTGTATCAGACATAATGCGGTACATATTCCTTCTATTGACTCTCGTGGCCCTCGGAGCGGCTGTAGCTCCGCAGCAAAAGCAACATGCTGGTAAGTTAATTAATTATTATTAACAAATCTATTTCTTTTTCTCTCTACAATTATTTAACTTATGTTACCACATAATTATACGGATGGTACATAATCTAATGATTTTTTCTAAATTCATTTAAAACATGTATTACATTATTTATTAAAAAAAAGTCATTTGATTTTCGAGAAATGAAAAAGAAAAAATTGAACATGGTATTTTAATGGTTGTTTATTTTAATTCCAGCCAATCAAGAACTCTTGCAAAAGCAGCAGGACGTTGTTGATCTTCTATTGCAAATAACTCAGGATCAAATTCCAAACCCTCAATTAAATCACATCGGCCATACTTACGATATTGTTGCCAATGCTAACAAATATGAAAATCCGGTAATCGTTAAGTACTACGGTTACATGGTTAATGCTGGTTTGATTCAGCCCAGAGGTACTGCTTTCTCTAACTCTCAGAGCCAGTTGCGCAAAGAAGCAGCTTTGGTTCAAAAGATCTTATTGGGCGCCCTGGACTATCAAACTTTCTTGAATACTGCCGCTTATGCTCGCGTTAAGGTCAACGAAGGACAATTTTACCAGGTATGCTTTCAATTTTTAATATCAACATTTTACAATTATATGAAATAATTTAATGATATTTTATTTCAACCATAAAATAGGCCTTCACTGCTGCCATTTTACAACGCCCGGACACACAAGAAGTCATTTTTCCACCACCATATGAAGTCTTACCCTCATACTTCTTAAACTCTAAAGCTATCCTGCAAGCACAAAATTCCCATGGTTTATACAATGAAGTTGTTATCCCTGTCAATCAGACCACTTACTTGCCCCATAGAGAAGCTGAAATTGGTTACTTCACCAATGACATTGGACTTCAAAGCTACTATTCTTATGTTCATCTAGCTAATAACAATCTGGAATTGGTAAATACATTTACGTTACTTTACAAATTTTCTAGACTTCAAATTAATTGATACAATATTTTTTCTTATAGCAGCAACAGCAACAGCAACAGCAACAACAGCAACAACAACAACATCAACAGCAACAACATCATCAACAACAACAACAACAACAGCAACAACAGTACAGTTCATTAGGTCCTCAAGCGTACCAATCGTCTGAACAAGATAATCCAAATGGTAAAGGAGCTAAATCCCAGTACCTTCAAAAGCAACTTCTGGCCTATTACGAATTGAACCGCCTTTCCAACGGACTTAATCCAATTGAAGACGTTGATTACGTTACCGTACACGCTCCATTGGAATCTCATCTTCTAAATTACAATGGCCTCCCATTCCCTGACCGTCCAGAAACCTTGAATCTCGAACAACAAGGCAGCCAACAACAGCAATTGAGTCAGGCCGTGAGGACATTAGAACAGAGACTTATTCAAGCCATTGACTCTGGATATGTTCAAACTGCACAAGGTGCTCTGCTTTCTCTTTACCAACCACAAGGCATAAGCATTCTTGCTGATCTTATCCAAGGAACTGGTAGAAGCGTTAATCCAAGGTTCGTCTATTATTCAATTGATATACGAAAGATTTTCTATTAGGGAAATAATAATCTTGAAATGATACATTTGTGTTTTCTTAAATAGATACTACGGCAACCTTCAAGCAGCAGCTAGCCAACTCCTTGGCAACGCTCCCCATGCTCCAAACATCTACGATTACTCGCCATCCGTTTTGGAACTCCCCGAGACCTCTGTTCGTGACCCTGCTTTCTATCAACTCCTCAAGAAAGTAATCAATCTCTACAACAGATACCAAGAATCCTTGCCCGCTTACCAATACAACCACCTCCTAGTTCCTGGCGTTACCATCGAAGATGTTGGCATTACTCCATTAACGACCTACTTCAGCTACTTCGACGTTAACCTTACCCAGGCAATGGGACATGGTTCTCAGCAAGGACAACAGCAAAGACAACAACAAGGACAACAACAAGGACAACAACAAGGACAACAACAAGGACAACAACAAGGACAACAGCAAGGACAACAGCAAGAACAACAAGAAGGACCAGCCATTGTAGCTCAACTTAAGATATTAGATCACTTGCCTTACAATTACTATATCAATGTTAACAGTGAGAAACACATTCCTAATGCTGTTGTTCGCGTTTACCTTGGACCAAAATACGACTACCAAGGCCAACCAATAAGCATTTCTGAATCCAGACATTTATTCGTTGAATTCGACCAGTTTGTTAAAAATCGTAAGTATGAAATCTTTCTTGATCGAAAATTTCATTTGTTTTCGATGAAGAGAACTAGATTTAAATTCAATTATAATTTGATTTACAGTTAGACAAGGTAAAAATGTTATCGCCAGGCACTCTGTGCAAGCACCAGAAAAAAGCTTTGACTATCCATCGATTCATCTAATCCAAGATGGCGTAAACTCTGCTTTACACTCCCAGCATCCGTTCTACAAGACCAAAGTAATGATTTATCTTAAGAACGAACGAACGAGCGCAAATGAAAATGCTAGATTTTAACGATCCCTTGTATTTTTACAGCCACAAGACATGTATGGCTTCCCTGCTAGGCTATCTCTTCCCAAAGGTACCGACTACGGTTATCCACTCCAACTTCTCGTAGTGATTTCCGTACAAGGACAACAACAGCCAAGCTACAATCCAGTTATTCCACAACAATACCAGAACTATCAGCAAGACTACCAAATCGTTGGAGTTAATGAGTATCATCAATCGAGATCGGAGCCTGGACAAACCGTAGAAGTTGTGCCTGAGCAAAGTAACCTTGAAGATTTAATCGAAGGTGTTTTATCAGTGGCTAAAAGATCAACGTCTTCGCTACTGAATAAACTTAATCGCATAAAACATTTCTTCTTTCCAGCTGTCGCTACCGAACATGGCAGCCTTTACACTAAACACCCAGCTCAATCCCAAGCACAATCCCAAGTACAATCCCAGGCACAAACTTACCAATATGAACAGGCTTCTCAGCAAGCTGGCATACAAGGAGGTGTCCAAATTGGACCTTATGGCATACACGGAGTGTTCCAAACTGGAGTACAAGGTGGCCCACATGTAGGAGTACAAGGTAGCCAACAAGTAGGAGTACAAGGTGTTCCACAATCAGGAGTACAAGGTGTCGTACAAGGAGGCGTACAAGCAGGAGTACAGGCAGGAGTACAGGCAGGAGTACAAGGTGGAGTACAGGCAGGAATACAAGGAAGAGGATATGAAGGAGGTGTATATGGTGGCAGCGCTTACTCGCACGTTAGCCAAGGACAACATGGTTACCATGGACAACAAGGACAACAAGGACAACAAGGACAGCAAGGACAACAAGGACAGCAAGGACAACAAGGACAGCAAGGACAACATGGACGACAAGGACAACAATACGGTAGCGGCCAGACTCACGCCGGTGGATTCCAAGGCATCTATCAATTTTATTCCCAAATTCAAGAGGAACAACAACAACAAGAACAACAACAGCAAGCCAATAACTATTATCAGAACCAAAATATCGCTGACTTTATTGGTGGTGCCATTTCCTATGATGACAAACCTTATGGTTACCCATTAGAACGACCTCTTACTGCTGGTGCTCTTGCTGTCCCTAACATTTACGTGAAAGATGTTCACGTTTACCACAAGGGTCAACCTACAAACTCGATCAGCCCGTAATAACGTCACCGAAATACTTACGACTAGTGTATTAAACGTAGCGATTTGAATTTGATCTATGTCACACTTAAAAATAACACGCATTACCGAAGTGTGTGCGTGTGTGTCTGTTTTTATATGACTGTGTGTACCTCTTAATTTGAAAATGATAAAAAAGGATTGATTAATACAAAGAAAACGCAATAAATAAATTGTTATAGAAACTTATTGGTTCTCAATATTTCAGACTTAATGATTTCTCATCAATTTCGATATTAAATATTAGATTCTAATACGAGATCTATCTACACGCGTTTTAGGACATTAAAAATAAATTTCTATTTCACATTCTAATCAAAAGAATTATTTTATTAAGAAATTACGCTAATATAACGAATAATGCTGATTTAGATTTAAATATTCTCCAATAGATATCGATTATTTTCGATTTTCTTTCTATCATAAACATTGGTCCTTTCTGATTTTTTGCAGGACACGAATTAACTGTCATTTTTGAAATCATATTCTCTTCTTCTCTTTACTCGCCTGTCATCATTTCCATGAACTCTGCAAATAATAATCGTACTAATAGATATGTGTGACTAATCTTATAAAATAAATGTTATTTCGAAAACATTTTGAAATCCGACGTAAAATGTAGATAATAATTAACAAAATAATGGCGTACCATCAAAGTCAACCGTTCCAGAACCGTCGGTATCAATTTCGGCGATAATTCCATCAAGATCGGAACTAGTTAATTTGTCATCTAAAGCAGCTAAAATTTCTTTCAGGGTTGCCGTAGTGATATAACCATTTCCTTCCCTGTCGTACAATCGGAAAGCTTCTTTGAGTTCCTCCTGCATCGCTTCGGCATCTTCCTCTTCAAGAAATCGTCCTGCGATCTTACAGAATCCATCGAAGTTCACCTTTCCTGTACCTTCGGGATCATTTTCTTCAATTATGGCGTTCAATTCGCCATCGTCGAAGAGTTGGCCCATGGTGTTCAATATCGTTGATATCTTGAGGGTGTCGATGAAACCACTCTTAGTTGTGTCGAACATTTGGAATGCTTTCCGCATTACTGCAGTTTTCTGTTCGTCTTCCTCCTTCAATTAATCGATTAATCAAACACATAATATATTAACACCTTGACGTATCTTATTCGAATGGATTAACAAACAGCTTATTGTTTTCTTCTTTATTTTCGGTTATTGGATAAATAACTGAATGGAAACAGGGTAGATAGGGAAAAAGGATTGGAGATCCTTACCATGATCACGTTTATCCTAGCACGACGGACGATCGATGAGACCTGAAGAGACTAGGGCTCTTCCGTGGCCCGTTATATGTAAAGACTTCCTCCGCGTCTGGTGAAACAGCTAGAAAGAGCCGTGCTCGAGGATTTTCGTACTCAAAAATAGAGTCGCCGCGAGGAAAAATGAAATATGTTATAAGTGGCATATGTAACGCGCGTCGTCTTCTCCACGCGTCGTTAGGTGACGAGGGCGATTCCTATGTTTGTGTGTTAGTATATCTTCTATCTTTTTCTATCTATCTATTTAACTCTCTTTCTCTGTAGGTATATGTGTTGCGTTGCGTTGCGTCGCGTCGCGTTTAAAGTTATTTCGTTAACCGCAAAATAGAGTCTAACGAGTCTGTGTACAATCATCTAGCCAGCGCATTAGCATAGCATTCTTAGTTCACTGCCCACGCAGTCTGCCCCTGCAAACGATTACAAGGCGCGACGTTACCTGGCATGCGGTACGGTAAAAATATATCGGTTCCCTCTTCTCCTCGAACAGTTGGAGCACTTTGAGCACGATTCATCATCGTCCGCGCATTTTCCAGTCACGGAAAACTAGGTCGGCGGAGATCGGTTTTCCACTAGCCAACCCTGGCACGAACATCACCTAACTAATAACGAAACAATTAACCAATTTGCCATTTTACTGGCGTCAGGTTTGTCTTCGGTTTTGTCTACTATATTAACTGACAAGATTACTGGATCGGTCATTCGATGTAAATTAGATTATTATCAAAGCTAGGTGTTACCTTTTTCATTAACGATGCTTTCGTTGAATGATAGGCAAATTGGACACGAAAATGACCGTGCCAAATAGTTGAAACGTTTTAAGATAACCGTGCCAAAATGAGAGTTCCTGCAGTAAAATCCAAGGGGGATGGATTGCGCCGCTTCTTCTTATACCTTTCACAATTCATATTTTATAAATCTGGCCTCTATCGACTTGTGTGTGGACGGTAGAGTTACTATTTCTTGCGTTGCATCTTTTACGATTTCTTCATTAATAAGTATTCATTCAGAATAGGTGGAATGACAAATTTCAGTGCATTGTTTTCTCGAACAAGTTACACACCTTTGTTATACGTTCATTCATTATTACGTATTCTACGATATTTCAACGATCTGATCATTCTTTTTCTACATTTCTTCTTCGTTTTTATTAATATACTTTTCCTTGCAATTATTGTCAATTCAGCAATGATTTTAGTTAAGAAATGTTTTCCTGTCCCAATTTTAACTCGAGTTCTATATTGCAGGGAAATAACATATAGATAGAAATGTAATATTATATATTAAATAATTTTCATCTGATATTATTTTCGATGAAAATTTCCCCCTCCGAAGTCACCACTACACGGGAACGTTAAAACAAATTTACATTTATTTAAACAATTACGTAAAGATTAAGAAAATATAAAATCAGAACGTTATAATCTTAAATTTAATTGATTAGATGAATTATTCCTTTTTTACACATGCGCAACATTCGGAAAGTCATATAAACAACTTTCAATAAAAGTATTTTCATAGAAGAGAAAGTGCCAGTCTCAAGGTACATCTCGAGGAGGACGGTTGACAGAACATATACTCCGAGCTTTTTACCAACAATAGACATTTCTATCGATTAATTAACAATTTTTTTAATATTCTAATACACTCTACTTATATTTACGATTACTTTGAACGCATATACATTGTTTTAGACGTTGCATACCTATTAAAGTACTTCGAATATAGAAAACAATTTGGATATGTTATTAATTTATGATTTTTCTACATGATTGTATACATCGTTCTAATATATATATATTATCATTGATTATTAGAATCAGAAAAGGGTCAGTATTTAATGATGATAAAATATTTTAAATGAAATATATAGTAACACAATATAAGAATGTCAATTTTAAATAATCCCTATTATTATTTTTAAATTATATAATAAACTTTCTTATTTATTCATATAACAATCGAAAGAAATGCATGAAAATATTAAATAATATTAACATTTATCAAAATAATATATAATATATATATATATAATTTGGAATGTGTGTAAGAAAGAAGAGGTTGAGTTTATCAAATTGAATTTTGGCGGGTTTCTTCGATAGCTCCGATTCCTCTCGTTCCGCGGTTCAAAGAGAGGGCGCTTAGATTCGGAAATAATCGGTGAGTGTCGGTAATAGTCGGAAGTATTCGGAGTTGCGTGGCTTGGCGCGGCGTGGCGTTCGGGTATTACCGGCCAAACGCGAACGATCAGTGATGGCCGCGGGGCTGCTAAGGTGCGGATCGTATTGACGTCAGACCGGCTCGCTTATTTATTATAACGCTTTCATTTTTATCTCTCCTTAGTTTTTCTAATATGTGATAGATTCTTGTTTAATCCATAAATCGTTGATAGAATAAACGAATATCATTCGTCGCGATTTGATCGGGAATTAAAACTGTGTTAGAATTTTTTAAAAAGGTTTACATAGGAGCCATCGGAACGCCATCCACATTTTCTGATCTTTCAACCTTGTTCGAGTACTACTTTGATTTTTCCAACTTTTCCAATGCTTTTTATTCCCTTGTGAGCTGCGTGCCACTATCTCGATGACATTTGTGTATGCATTTAACGAACCGAGATTTATTTAAATGTAGTAGGAACGAGGGTGTTTTCAACGTTTGGAAAGCTTTTTTTCGCTATCTAACAAGTATACAGGTACGTAAATCCAGAACACAAAACGATAAAACCAGGTGCGACAACTATGCGCGTACGAATCTGAAACTTCTTTCCAATACGAATTTTATTTCCCCGAAAAAAAAAAAGAAGAAAAGAAAAAAAAAAGAAAGCTCTACAGATTATCTCAAAAGGGGGACAATAATTATTTCTTTTTATTGTATTATTTTTATTGGCTATTATTCTCTATAATATGTTATTGTCTCATTATAGAATTAAATATTATTGTCAGTACGTTAATTGCAAGACATTTATTTGAGTAAAGTAGTCATAGGAGGGGGGGGGGAGGAGAGGTTAAGTGTTTCTTCTTAACACTGTGCAAGGACCAATCCAACATGCAATCGTTTATTTCTATCTCTCTCTTTCTTTCGCTTTTAAAATTACATACATTTTGTATATACATCACAATGCAATTGATAATGATAGAAAGATAAGTATACTTTAAACAAATTTCTCTAATTAAATCTGTTAAGTGAATAAGCATTTTTAGGGGAATATTCATTGTCCATATTATATAGGACAAGTAAAAGGTATTTTTGTCAACCTTATTACCAGCGTATGTAGATTGTAACATTCGAAAATGCATTACGTCGAATGCAATTAAGTTTGAATTATCTATGCATATTACTAATGTGATTTAGCGGTCGTTGCTCGTAAACATGCGCAGCATTTACGTACCACGCACATACATGTGCACATACAGACACACATCTATGTAGATATAAGAAACGTCTTAAGGATAACTAATTGTCAGTTAATTCACGTGTACTAAATAACGCAGATAGATGAATCGTGTATGAAAGTGCAATTGACGAGAAACGGCGTTATTCCTTTTGTAAATATGTCAAAGCTTCATTGCCGTTATTACAATGGCACATCGCAGAATAATAAGATGATTATCGGCTTTTCTCAATGTTTCTTCTTCTCTCACGTACAATATGCATCAACTTAAAAAAATGATTTATATACTTTGTTCTTTCTTGTACTTGAAATTTCAACGATAATACCAGTTTATTCCGAGGGAAACGATCTGCGTTCTGAGTTCAATGAACTCTTCCCATTCATAGCATCGAACGATTTATTTCCTTTCGGTTTAACTTGCGTCAAGTGTATAAAGTAGATATAATTTTAAATCTTCGATAGCTATTTTCACAAGATTCTCATAATAAAATTCTTTTTACGTTACATTTTAGTTTGGATTTATTTAAATATGTCATTTTAATGTATGCGTTCTTTACATTTCATTTGTTTTTCAATTATTAATCAAATGAAATGAATATAATTATTATAAAAATAAGCATGTGTAAAAAATACGTTATGTATTCCTAATTAATTAAATATTTATATTTAAATGATATTTTTTGGAATGAAAAATTAGGAATAATTTTGATGGTGTGTTCTAGGTTGTGCATCCAAAGTTGGCCGCGCCTTTTGGCCGGCTATCCCATTTCGCGTGTTCCTTTCTACAAACCGATACGCTTTTCTCCCGTGCGTTCCGCATTCCCAAGCGTTCCTCTGTCTCCTCAGGCGATCTTATACGCCCCCACCTGGCCCACTTATCGTATTGATTCAAACTTGGCCACTCGCACGTTCCTCGCTCCTTCGCTTCTTCTTCTTCTTCCTGCTTCACCTTCCTTTCTTTATTTTCATTTTCATTTCTTTATTTTCTTTTCCTCATTCCTTTCCTACTTTCATCCCCATCCCCTTGTATTCACTCGAAAGATTTCATCGAGTAGGTTTTTTTTTCTTTTTTTTCTAGATTTTATTTCTATTTTTATTTGCAACACGAAACGTGAACTGCGTTAAAAAGAAAAAAAAACAAAAAAAAAGAAAGAAAACGTTTGATATTATTATAGATGGGAAAAATTGGCGGGAAATAATATTGAAATGTTCATCATGACATTTAACATGGCACTGTTTAAACAATGAGAGAACGTGAGATTAAAAACTAGATGCAGTTGAGGTTTGAAAAGTACAATTCCGAGTTCATTTCTAGCGCTTAATGAAACGAGAAAAGTGGTCGACAATGGAAAGGGAACGATGGAAATGGAAAGAAGTGGGTAAGGGTGGTTCACCCTTTGATTTCACAAAACCATTTTTTCCATCGTATAGTATCTACGCAAGGGAGACTTTAAAGGAGGCTGATAGAGAAGGTCACTCTTCGATATCGGAGATCTTCCTCATTTTTGCGGCTCATTTATTTCCAATAATGAGTGGAGAATCTTTAGCACCCTCCTTTACCCTTTTCATGATACGATTAAGTATCTCTTTGATATTTTCAACCCTTTTTAAGAGAGTTTAACCCACGGGAATATATATATATATATATATTACACTTTTCGAATATTTAAGAATAATCGATGGAGAAACCGATCATCAAAGGATTTCGAATGAAGATTTTTTGTTTAGAATCTTTAGAAATAAATATATATATCTATGGTGATAATAATCAGTTAATTATTTAGTGTGATTGAATGAGAATAGAAAATAGAAAAATAAAATGAAATATTCAGTACTTAGACGATAACAATGTTTCATTATGGTGTATAAGTTAAGTGATACTAAATAAGAGAATAGAAATTATCGAACAATTATCATTTTCTTTCCAAGAAAATATGATTAACCTTTCATTCCTTAAGTTTAATCGATTTGTAACATACCCAAATGGATTTGTGCATTGGTAATCGACATTATTTCGATTTGGAACTATTAGATTTCTTAATAGTAGATAAATGATGACGAAGACATTTGTCTATGCCATTGAGATATGGTGTTTCTTTGCTTTGTTCAAGAGACGACCACCTGTCTCCGTTTCCATTCGTTTCCAGACAACAGAGTTATCGATCTTTTCTTTCCTCGTTCTCATTTTAAGAATGCCTTTTTTTTCTCTCTCTCTCTCTCTCTCTCTCTCTCGACAAACGCGAATGCACTGTATGTTTCATGATAATTATTTTTAATTTACCTACAATGTTCCAACTTTTGTCTACGCTATTTACATTAGTATCGTTCTTTTATTACAATTTTATTCGCGTATTTATGAAATCGTCTTGAAAATTTCTTTCCTTTTATTTTTTTATAATTTAATATGGATTATATTTATTATACTATCCATTATTAACTTGCTCCATAAATTGTATATAATTGAATGAAATTAAATATAATCAAAAATATTGTTTATACACAATTTGTAAGAAAAAGGAAAAAACTTTTGGGACGCAATGAAAAATGTATAATAATAATAATATATATAATACTATAAACCAATTATCAAATTATAATAATGAATATTTGTAATAATACGGGTACCCAAAATTATTTCAATACAAGATTCAATTTTTTCTAAACAATTAAATGATGTAAGTATTGCGTTTTTCTGATAGAGTTATCGATTTTGAGACTAACAAAAAATATTACATAATAATAATATTAATCTGCAGGAGCTCTTTCCCCCCCGAACAAATCCAATATTTGTATTATATATACATATATATATATATATATATACGTATAAATAAATACGTAGATAAACTGTTATAAAAATATTCCCTTGTTTTGCATTCTACGTTCGAGTGGACGCGCTGAGTGCATTTCGTTTCAATATTTTGTCCCGTCACTCGTGCATTTATATCCCGATTGGATGAGCTTGTTCTTTTTTATTGTATAACTTTTCAAAGGAGGAGGAAAATATATAAAAAGAAAGAAAAGGAACAAATATCTCGATTTTCCTTGTTGTTCCCACAATAGAAAGAAGAAACCGATAGAACAGTCATCGATTATGACGATGATGATGATGATGAGAATGAGAATGAGAATGAGAATGACTAAGGAATCGAGGAGTGTCCTTGGTTTGAAGTGCACTTTGTTTCTTGCGCAAGATTTTCCTCTTGTATGTTAAAAGATACGCTCAACGATTTCCACCATTATCGATATCATCGATTTATTTTCAGATTAATCTTTGAAAAGAAAACTTGTTGTATTTTATTTAATCAAATTAAAAGAACCCCAGTCTATTATAAAACATTAATTTTCTTCATTTTCGGCCTTCTGAAGGCTCCTGAGTTAACCTTATTGGTTTCCGAGTAACTCGTGTAAGATATAAATGCATGAAAAGTAAAATATTAAGTAGAAGCATGTGTGTGTATGTATCTCGAACAGAGAAAAAGAAATAAAGATAAAGGAACGTGCTTGAAAAGCTACATTCTCAGTTCGCTTTTCAAAGGACCAGTAGTCTCGATGATGAATCTCGATGATTAAACGCGAAATGCGAGTATTCCTAATCAAAGGAAGAGATATACGCGCCATTAATTAGCTAAAAGGGTAGGAACAGAGCTTGAAAAAAAGAGTTTCTTTTTTTTTGTTTCTTTTTGTTTCTTATAAATGTTGCTTTACGTATCATCAGTTGTTGGCTATTTTATTGAGACGATTTTTTTTGTCTACTTCTTTCTTTTCTATTCTTTTTTGATATCCAAACGATCGATAATTCGATTTTCGCACGTATCTATGTATGTGTGTTTGTATATGTATATATATATACTTCAGATAACTTTCTTTGTTTCTTTTTTTCTTTCATGATAGAACTTTTCAATTCCAGCTTTACCCTTATCCGTATCGCGTTCGTGTCGGGGCCTGTAAAAATAATTCGAGCGCAGTGGAAGATTGCGAGGGAGTAATAACAGGAGCAGTCAGTTATAGAATGAACGAGAGAGAACGAGAGAGAACGAGAGAGAGAGAAAATGAAAGAAAGAGAATAGAAAAGAATGTGATATGCATTTTTAACAATCAAATGAAAGAAACGCGATGAGAATGTTGCAATTTAATCGTCTGAATAATTTCTTTATTTGTCTTCCTTTTATTGTTCTTCCTTTATTAGGAAAATGGCGGAAGAGGGTGCAGGAGGTTCTACCAATAGCAGTACCGGCGAAGCCAGCAGATTGCAGCTTTTACAAGAAATGCGACAACAAAATTTTGACAGTATACGATTCGCTTCTTATCGTACCGCTTGCAAGCTTAGATTTATTCAGAAGAAAGTTCATCGTAAGTATCCTCTTAATCCAAAAGAATATTATTACAATCAATTGAAATTGAAATTATTAAATATGTGCACGAATAATAATTGCCTAATTTGTATTACTTTGTTTTTTTTTTATTTACAATACTTATAATCAAAAGTATTATATTAAAATAAATCATCGTATACTCGTCAATTATTGTTAATTGATTAAATTTGTTGACCATTTGAGATAGTATAACTCAGTAATAAAATCATATAATTTTCTTTTTTTTTTTTTTTTTTTCTTTTAATATGATATACTTTACTTCGAATATACTGAAGTTATTTTTGCACCGATCTATTGTCACGATATTGGTTTGATCTATATTTGATGGTCTCTATCTATTCTTATAGTACACAATGTGGACATATGGAATGTGATCGAAGCTTTTCGAGAAAACGGCCTAAATACTCTAGAGCCGTCGAGTACGTTGGGAGTATCTAGGCTAGAAACTCTCCTGTCTTCCTTATTTCATGCGCTTAACAAGAGGGTGCCGGTGTCTCAACAAGCTAAAGTCGACGCTACCACCGCTCTCTTGATGAATTGGCTCTTGGCAGCGTATACCAGTGGGTATGTTCAAAAACTATTGCTTGCGGCTTCGTTTAATCTGAAACGATACTTTAACTCCAACCCCCTGTCCCCCCTGTCTCCCCCCATTTCCTCGATTCTTTCATAAAACTTTCTTTCTATCTTTCTATCTTTCTTTCTTTCTTCCTTTCTTCCTTTCTTTTTTTCTTCCAGGGAAAATAATAAGATATCCGTATTTTCGGTGAAGGTGGCATTGGCCACGTTGTGCGCTGGAAAACTCATGGACAAGTTTCGATGTGAGTGTTATTTTACTTATTTTTATTTTTTATCGAAATTACTTTTCTTTTTTCAAATCTCTTTTAAAACATATAATCAAAATTGAAATATCCAATTTGTTCACATAAATTTTCTAATTCTGATCGATCACAATCCCAATTTATTATTAAAACATGTATTATTTGGGATATGAAGAAATGAAAGACAATCGATCGAAGGATGAAATAATAATTGAATGGTAACGTTGAATCTTTTATCATTGTTTATCCAGACATATTTTCACAAATATCAGACGGTAATGGACACATGATACACTGGAGGTTTGCTGATTATTTGAAAGAAGTTTTAGCATTAACTGCAGCAGTATACGAGTCACCGTCTTTCGGATATTCGGATGGTCTAGCAAATACCATTTTTCCTCCTGTAAGTTTTTTTAGATATTTTGCTTTCTTTCTTTTTTTTTTTTTAGACAGGTGTCTCCTCACTAATTGATTTCATTTCTCTTCAGAATTCGAAAGTAACGGTTAATGATTTTCTGGATACTCTCATGTCCGATCCCGGTCCTCACTGTTTGATCTGGCTCCCGTTATATCACAGAATGGCGGCCGTTGAAACGGGTTGGTAGATTTATTTTTTCCTCTTCAATATTATTCCATTTGAAAATAATTCTCGATTCTCGATTTGATTTGACATTTTTAGTGGCTCATCCAATCATGTGCGATGCCTGTCACAAGGAAAACTTTACCGGTTTCCGATACAGATGTCAAAAGTGTCATTCTTATCAATTATGTCAGGATTGTTTTTGGCGTGGTAAAGTTTCCGGGACACACAACAACGATCACGAGACCAGAGAGTACAGTAGCTTTGTACGTTTATCATCTTTATTCGATTCTTTTACTCGGTATAACTCATGAAATTATCGCGACAGAGAATCTAATTGAATAATATTATTTGAAAATAGAAATCACCCAGTAAACAAATTGGCCATTCTTTGCGGAAAAGCTTCAGATGCGTTCCAGAAAAAGGAAAAAACAGTATACCAAGATTCCCCGAACAACCGGAAAAGACATTGGACCTGTCGCACATAGTGTGAGTGTGTGTTTCTGTTAATAAAGAAGAATCATTTAATTAACAACGTATAGAATTAATCGAATATTTCGACGGTGGTGTGTATATAATGTGTTGCAATTGGAATGAATTAACTGCGTTGCAGCCCACCGTCGCCTTTACCATCTCACAACGGTTTTCCAGATCCAGGTTTCATGGCACCGTTCGATTCCGGATCCATGGATAGCCGATCAACCTTGAGAAGGTAAGAACTGAGACGAGTTCTTAGTTCATTCATTCACCTTTATCTTTGCTTTTCTATTACGAGAATTTTGCATAAGAACGTTCGTCACGCTTTACTTAATTTTTTTTTTACGTTCTTTTTTTTTGTTCTTTTCTGGTAAATCGTTCAGTATGGATAGTTCAAGACTGGACGACGAACATAAATTAATAGCACGATATGCACAAAGGTTGGCACAAGAAGCTAGGACTATGGTAAGTCTACTAACGCTTATTTACATTTTCGAATAGTACGTTTTTCCTTTTTTTCTTCTTTTTCTTTCATTCATTCATTCATTCATTCATTCATTCGTTTATTTTATTCTAATACTTCTGCCTTACTTTACTTTCATTCTGTTCTTTCCTTCATTCATTCTATACTTTCATTCTCAAGATCAGAATATAACAAGCAAAGTGTATTTATAATGATCGATCGATTTTACACATAAGTATTTTGAAGCACGAGAATGTGGAGGAGATATATTTTCAGCGATGTATAATTCGATTTAACAAATTTGATTAAAACAATACCGCTGATTCATCATAACTAATTTTGATCTCGTAACAACTTCGACAGCCTCGTACTGCGTCCAGAATGTCGCAAGCTGACCAATCGGTAAGTACTGCCCGGTTTAACAAATTTAATAGCATATTATAAAAATGCTTGAATTTTTAAATAATCATCTTATCGACTATCTTAATTATTATGGGGATTTGTTTGTTCTTTTCATTCTTTTATACAGGGTAGAACACCGTCTGACGCCAATTTGGTATCGTTGGATGCATCGAGGGCTCAACGTGAACTTATATCGCAGTTAGAAGCGAAGAATAAAGAAATAATGCGAGAAATTGCAAGGTTAAGGTATACCTGTGTCGTTTATCTTCCTTTATATCGAGCCTAAACCTCCAAGTCATCCCGTCGAACCATCCTAGAGTCACGCATGTTATAACGAATTCAGTTTAGCTTGGTGTATCTTTGGTTGCATAGCTAAGCATATATAATATTATAGAACAAAATCAAATATATACTATTTATATAAATTTGTAATCACTAATGAATATTCGTCGACGAAGGTGAACTCACGATTCACGCCTTAGATTCATCTCTAACATTCATATAAATTAGTTTATTCGTATTTCATAGCTTATTTAAACGTAGACCAATCAAATATACGATCTTTTTACTAATATATTCTCGATATCTTATAAATTATAGGAGACAACAAGAGATAGAAGCGGCAGGATTGGAGAATCCTGCATTAATGTCTGAATTGAGAGCTTTGAGGCAGAGGAAGGACGAATTGGAGACTCATTTAGCTACGTTGCAAGATTCCAGGAGACAATTAATGGTTCAATTAGAAGGTCTTATGAAAATGTTGAAGGTATGCATTTATCATTTTCAAGAATGTTATCCTAACAGTCCCAAAAAAAGACCAGTCCTCATATTGGACATATTATGAGGCTACATTTAAACATTTAATTGTTCTAGAATCATCAAGCGTCTCCTAGATCAACACCAAACAGTTCACCGAGGAGTACAAAATCACCTCCTTTACCACCTGGTACAGTGACAAGTAGCAGATCAGCTCCAGCCACTCCTGGTGGAACATTGTCAACTACTCCCCAACAGCAACAACAGCAACCACAACAACAACAGCAACAGCAACAGCAGCAGCAACAACAGCAACAGCAAAACCCACAGAGTCAAATGTCCCAAAGCTACCAGACTTCTGTACCAACTACATCGGTACCAAACATGTCGGGCAGTGCAATGCTTGGGACAATACAGAATCCTATTCCAGATAGTCTTTCGTGTGTTGGAGGCGACGTAAGGTAGGGTGGCATGTACAAAAATCGTATGCTATTATTACAATCATACTGAAAACGAAAGAAGAAATGTTTTTTAAAAAAAAAGAAAATAATAATACGACGATATACGAGAAAGTATTATAAGAATGTGTTGGGAAAAGTGATTTTATTAATTAGATAAATATTATTTAAAATCAGTGATAACGATTCAGGTGTTATCTTAAGAGTTTAGTGAATTAGCGATCGAGTTATACTAAATTTCCTGAACTATTCTTAAATCTTTCTTCGTATATATTTAAATTTTATGTTTGTTTCTTTTTTTATTCCTATTATTTCGATTCGTTTTGTATTTTCTTTTGTTTTTTTTTTGTTTTTAAATATAAGTGCACATTCCCTTCAAAGTTTTTCCATGAAACATATTAATTTCGTATAATATTTATCACAAAGATATCGATTTTAATTCTATGTGGGTGGTGTACATATTTTGATTATTATCTATTACATGCCTCATAGGTATTTCTCATTTGTTTACCCTTTTCATCCCCTGTGTGACTGTACATACACAGTAGTATGTACTATTTCATTTTTCCATGAATTTTGTTAATTTTCTTTCTTTTTCTCCTTTTATCCCCTTCACTCTCACCACTTTCTATAATTATATGTAGTCGATTTCTTTTGTTAAAAATTATCGTAGTTTATACAAAAAAAATTATACTTTGTTGCACAATGAATGAATTTCTCACGTAACAGCACGCAAATATTGCTTATAGCCAGGGACTAGGATAATTTTAATTTATAACAAAAAATAAAAAAACAAATTAAAAATATTAACACGCAAAGAAATGATTCGTTTAATTTTCTTTCATAAATAAATAATAATTATGAAATATATGTGCTACATTTTGTATATTCTGGCTATAAGCAGGAAAACACACAAATGTTTGTTAAAAAGAGAAGAAGAAAAAAAATAATAGATATTATATTTGTTGCATGTTAACGTTATATCAATGATACTTTGTTCTTTATTATGAGCTAGTAGCAATTACTAATTTTGTACTAGCTTCGCGCGTACAAGTAAATCATTCTAAAAATATGATTGCGTATTTTATGCACTACTTATCATTATTTCACAGCGATTTATGATTAGATAAAAAAAAAAGAAAAGAAAAGAAAAAAGATAAAAAAGAAATGCTTAGTGTATCCTCCACGCTTGTTTTTCTTTCGCAATGCTTTATTATATGACCAACACTTTCATCAATTTACCCCCCTCCCCGTCAAATGTTAGTCTTTTAAATTATACCGAAAAGAAAATCTCTTCGAAGGAGATACCGTTTAAAATATTTTACGTAAATTTTGTTGTAATCGCAATTATTACAAATTAGTATCACATTTTTAATCATATTTAAGTTAGAATTACGTGTAAATATACGCGGTTATGGTAAAAAAAATAATGACAATAGGAAACAGAAAAAAGACTTGTATCGTTAATATCGAGTGTGTATGTGTGCTTGCTTGCGTGCGTGTGAATAGGTTTATGATTTAAAAAAAAAAAAAAGAATAAATAAAAAATTCGTTAATCATCTTTCTCTAGAAAGGGATATTAATTTTAAAAAGGGATACAAAAAAAACGGAGAGATCATTTATTAATTGTTAGATTCAGCGACGATTAGGGCGTGTAAAAATCGATAAATATTATAGATACAAATTAAAACTATGATACTATTTGAAAAAAATCAAACTTGTATATAATAAAAAAAAACGTTAGGAGTAATACATTGATATATACATAGGGGTAAATGAAATACGATTTATATTATCGTTAGAAAATTCTTTTAGTTGTATAAGCACTATGATATATATATATATCGCATGTACGCCAAATTTCTTTCATTTGTTTATATCCATTATTATTATTATTATTATTTGACACGTTTTTCATGAATTAATAATTAATAAGAGCTTACGCGTGCCATTTCACATATTATTACGTTTTATTTTTCTCGTTATTCAACAACAACAAAAATAATATAATCACGGAAAAGAGTATATAAGATTTTGATCTATAAAAAAAAAATATATATATATATATATAATAATAATATACATATTAAAAAGAAAGAAAAAAGGATATTATAGACAATTTTAGATTGAAAAAGTTTAATATTTTAATTGATATTATGCTTGTGCATTATATTATTATAATCATAATGATGCAGCATGTTGCAAACTAGCCGTTGAATTTTGTTGCTGTTTAAAGTGGCTTTGCGCAAAGAAAATAGAGATTTTCGATATCAGGTCTGCGTTCAGGACAAACAGCCTGCCAGGAAGCGGTTCCAGCAGTGCGAATAATAGTTTGGGCCGATCCTTAAGGAACGATCTGTTGGTAGCTGCCGACAGTGTTACTAATGCCATGTCAACGTTGGTCAGGGAATTAAATTCAGGTACGTTTAATAATGCAAAATGTAATGCAAACAATTTATGAGGACGAATTAATGAAAAAAAACAAAAGAAAAAGATAAAAAAGATCATCACTATTTTTTGTAGTTTATCAAATGGCACTTCGAATTCTCTATTATGCAAAAGAGTCAGTTTTCATTTTTTTCAATATATTTATATACATATATATTTAATATATATACATATATATAAGATTAGATCAATTATTTGTTCATAACTCGGAGAGAGAGCATCTAGCGAATTTTACCTCTAATTTTTTTTTTTTTTCTTTTTTGTATTTTTTTTTATGCCAACCTTTTTATTCGAATTTTTTTTCCTTTTTTTTTTTCTTTTCTTATTATTATTTTTAATTACTTAATTATAGGATAATTGTCATTATTATTATTATTATTACGATTATTATATTTTGCGTGTTCGTTCATATATTTGTTTGTTCTTTTTGCTAATTTTTCAGAATAATCGTTTATGTATAAACGTGCATAATAACAAAAAGGAAGCGAAGGCTTGTTTAGAAAAAACATAAAAAAAAGAAAAAAAAAGATTCTACGACCGCTCGTCATTTCTGCAGCAAGCAGCATGAGTCTATCTTACAATTTAGTATTATTAAAGGGACGGTAATAATGAGTATTTAACATTTGAAATATTAAATTTATTCTTTCTATATACATCCTGTATATCTATCTCTTTCTCTCTTTCTCTCTCTCTCTCTCTCTCTCTCTCTCTTTCTCTCTCTGTCTCTCTCTTTCTTACGAATGTACAATGTTGAAAACTCTTTTGGATGAGTACGTAAAAAGCAGGTGAGCCATTTATAAAACAACAAGTTTATTTTATTCTTTTATATTTATTTATTATTATTATTATTATTATTATTATTAGAAATATTATAATCATATTTGATTTAAATTGAATATATCTTTTAACAAGTTTAAATAAAACGAATTTAAATCTGAATCAAATAGAAATATACGAGAGAAAATAAAAAGATATATTTCGTGTGATTTTTGTTAATGGTATTATTTGTAGTTTTTATATGTTTAAAAAGAAAAGAAATAGAACAAGAAAAAATAAAAAGGAAGGT